TTATTTTTATTTTCATTTTGTTGTTTTTTTTATACTTTTTTCTTTTTGTTTTTTTCGTTCATTTATTTTCTTTTTTTTAGTTTTTTCTTTTCTTATTAATTTTTATTTCATTTCTATACTTTCGTTTTCATTTTATTTATTTGATTTTTTCATTTTTTTTTTGCAATTCGTTTCTTCATTTAATTAGTAAAATGTGATATAATGATTTTTTTTTTAATATAGTAAAATCTGTTCATTATATCAAAATTCTTTGTATTTATAAAATAAGTAATAAATAAAAATAAATTTTACAAAATTCATTGCGTACCGTACCGTACTGGTTCTATAATAGGGCTTAGTTACTATAGGACCAGTACGGTACGGTACGATATCAAATTTCACAAAATTACTGACCTGCATAATCGTACCGTACTGGTTTTCCATATACTCTCGACTGTACCTGTAGCACACTAGCCCATGTTTACTTTGTTATCGCTCGAAACATTTTTACTTACCAAGTTATTTGATGACAACTTATAAGAAAAAGGATTGGGCTCTTGAACCTACACGCTTCACTTTTTAACTTGGTAAATTATAAATAAACATTGAAGGTTCTCATTATATTCATTCTATTTAGTTTTTTTTTTTTTTGTTTCGAAAAGTGAATTTTTGTGGTTTTAAAGCAAAGGTACAATTTGTCAGTTAAAGGAAAACTTATTATTTTTTTTTAGCACAAATTTTAGCCATTTTAATTTTCTGGTCAATGATGAACTTAGACCTCAAATGTGCCCGTTAAACTTTAACCCACATTTTATGAATCATCCAAAATTAATAAAAAAAGACTGTATGTCATCCGAAATTAAATTTTTGGGGGCTATATTTATCAAATGAACCAGAAAGACAGTTGATTGTGACACAACACCACTATAAAAGAAAACATATTTTTTCATCCAGTAGGGAAAATACAAGATATTTATACAAAATAAAAACTAAAAGAAAAACAATACAATCTTACAGTATATCAATATCGAAACAATAATAATGAAATGATTAAAAGGAAAAAAAAATAAAAGGAATAATTATATTTCTAAACCATTTATATTGTATGCTTTGTATTAGTACCTGGAATTGAAAGAATTTAATTGAATACTTTGTCAACCTTTATCTTAATCATCATCATCATCATCATCATCATCATTTACCTCGTCATTCCCACAATCAATTAATAAAATCCCAATTAATCGCTCTACCAAGTTCTAGGTTGGCAATTCTTTCGAAAGCGGCAGGAGATAAGTCCAAATCACCAAAAGAACATCCAGGACAACTATCTACAACTCGACAAATAACGGTTCCTTTTGGACCGTTATAATAACGCTTTTACCACATATTGGATTTTGGTTAAGATTTTACGTGTTACCAAATTGAGCAGCGTTAGCCGCTACTATCAGATCTGACCTTGATGAAATTATACCGCATGCACTGTACCCAGTTCGAAATATGTAGCACTAACTGAAAAGACATGTTTTTGAAAATTAGAAGAAAATGGAGCCGAATAATAAGAGATTATGAGTTGTGATAAATCACAAAAAGTGTTGAGATTAATGAATAAACTTGAATTATTTGAAAAATACATGACAATTTGGCGTATGTATGAAACGAAAGGTGCTTACAAGTGTTATTTAAATACATTCGCTGAACGAGCAGGCTTTTTTTTTTTGCTGATAATTAACAGAGCGTGTGAGCGCAACGAATGCTGTGTAAATTTGTCCGGCTTAGCGAAAATGAATATTTATGAAATTTCTATGCAAAGGACAAACAAGAAAATAAGCGGGAACTTTTTGATAGGATACGAAAAGATGTAATGATCAAAAAGATAAACTCAAAAATGATGCTATATCAATTTGTTCTCTGAAATCTTGAATCGAAGAGGCGTGATAATTTTCTGTGATGCATTAAAAAACATAACTATGTTTCGTATAGAGAATTGTTTACAAGTAATTAACAAACGTCATACCTTTTCTTTATGTTAATTATCTGTTTGTTTAATTCAACAGTTGTAATAAATTCGTCGTTTCTTTGATACAACGCGTTCATTTTATTAGGAAGATACTTTTTTTATGAAACTTTTATATTTTTGAATGTCAAACCATTCCCGAGAGATTACATTTTAAAACGTAGGGGGAGTCGCCTCTTTCATTGTTACTAATCTGTTAGATCTGTCTTATGAATATTCGGTCCTCTCTACAATAGAAATAAAAAAAAAATTGAAATGTACATTTATGTTGTTGTCAATGAAATTTTTTGGAATAAATAATTTAATTCCTTCATTTAAAAATATCTTCTGAATTCTTGGATTCTATGTTTGTAATTTTGTTATTTTATTACTGTAAATTATAAATAAAGAGAAAAGTAACGCCAAAGATTTAACACGTGGTCAGTAAGTCTCCTTCAAATAATTCACAATTTAAATGCAGAAGTTCTGTGTTACAGGAATCTTTCAGTAAAAGGTTTTTTTATAAAATCTCGTATCGCACCAATAGTTGAGCAGCTTCTCTTCATTTTAAGTTTAAAATGAACAAAATAATAAAAAAGAAAAAAAGGCAACTATTCAACCTACACAATGAAGAAAATACTTGAACGATCTCACTTTATACTCTACCAATGATAAATTATAGCCAATCAACGAAAAAAAAAATTGTTTTGGTCTTCCAGATTTTATTCATCGGAATGGTAACTCATTTCAAAATCAACTCCGACTAATTAAAATTCATTTCCGATCCATTTAGTTAAGTGTTTGAGAACGCCCTAAGCTGTCACGAAAACCAAAGGATTCCGTGACGGAACTACATTACGTGTATTTTACCGATTTTCCGGTTATTTAAAGTGGGTTAATTAAAAATTAATAAGCCTAAAAATTAATAATCCTGTAAATTAACTTCAGGTGACGTTAAATTCTTTAAGTCTTTCACCTTCCGACGATAACTCATGGATATAACGTCGGAAGATTTCTTTAAATCATTCAGTCATAGAAATTTGTTTAGTAATAGGATATAGAGATTTAGAATGAGTCAATGGGATATGGGATGGAAAATAGGCCATTAAAAACAGTACACCGATTTCGTTGTTTAACGATAAAGTATTGCAAACAAATCTATTTTAGTTATTAAAGAACCTAGCTTTAAATAAGTTTTCGTCATTCTAATTTTGTATTTTTAGTTACCGCATTTTCCGCCTTTTTAATTACAAATAGGGATTGAGTCATAAAGACGAAATAGTTGAAACATTACCCGATATTACGTTTTATCTATATCACTGGTATATTCGAATTTCTGATCACCACTTTGATATTGACTAAATAAAAAAATTCTGCTGTCAGAAAAAAATACCTCAAAAAAAAAAAAAAAATAAAAATAAAACCAATTCCTTTCCTCCGAACAATTTTTGCAAAATGTCTGCACAATTTCTTTCGAGCCTGAGCCAAAATTATATCGAACTATTAAATGATGATGAATATTATGATGTTAATATTGAAGTTGGTGAAGATCTTAATGTAAAGATATTCCGTTCTCGTATGAATATTTTGTGCTACCGTTCTCCATATTTGCGACGAGTTTTGTCTTCAAGTAAAAAAAGTAATAATAATACTATTAAGAGGGAGTCGAGACGGATTTACTCCTACAGTAAATCGTTTCATACATAATAAGCCCATGACCGTCACCTTAGTTAAAAATAAAAGGTAAAGATGAAATTATAATCCTTTAATATGGAAATCTTCTGTTGAATGGGGCAGGATTAAAATAGTTTTGTATTTTTTTAAAAAATAAGCAAAATTTATCGAGAATGCGATTCTAAGTAATGTTGAAGTTAAAGATTTTTGCACTATATAACCACAAGCGTGGCGGACATTGTTTTGGATATGATCTTAGGATATTTTCATCAAGTGAATTAAAAGATGTCAATTCAAATTA